ACAAACTTCTGTTGTTTAAACTACTCCATCTGTGGTAATTTACTATGGCAGCCCTAGCAAACTAGTACATTCCCCTTTTAACAGACACCTTTGTCATTGAAACCTATAGTACCTTACTCCAGTCTGTTTCATGGGAAATTGCCCTAAGGTCCTTGGCCAAGCTTCTTTCATACAGGTTACACAAATAAGGAGTCCTTTTCAGAATTATGGCATACTTTTTAAACATTAGAAATTATCATATGCTCACTTCTTAAAGAGTCTTAAACATTAACCACTGCATCACTATTACTTGAAAATTTTCTATTTTCTTTCCATATATAAAAACATGTCATTGAACGTTTAATACAGCTGTCTATCTTTAAAAAAAAATTGCCAAAATGAAATAATCTGCATACAGGAGCCTCCTTGGTGGCCTGGAGGTTTAATCTCAGCACTATCACCACTAAAACCTAAGTTCAATCCCCAGCCAGGGAGCTAACCCACATGGTGCAGTAGACCTCTCCTGTCTCACCTGCTGCTCCCCTTAGCAGTGTATTTCAGTCAATCCAGCTGTTCTGCTCCCCACTCTGTCTTCGGTGAATCCTCTCATCACCAACACCTTTGGCCTATACACCAGTCCTTCCATGCAATAAATAAATCTTTAAAAAATTAAAGAATTTGAATACAATGCTTTGAATTTTAAACACATTTTGATAGTCACTAAACTCTATTACATAGTAAAGGGAAATACGCTTAGAATCAAAACTTTAAATAAAGTTACTCTTTTTCTCTTATTTCATGACTATGCACAAAATTTGGTTCTTGATTTAAATTTTTCAAATGCCTAACAAAACCAAGATACTTTCACTATACTGCAGAGGAACTTCCCAGGTAACCTGCAAAGAGTAAGGTACAGATAAAAATATAACTAAAAAGGGAGACTAGACAGAAATCAGATTAAATTTCATACCAGAAAGCATTTTCTCTGTTGACTAATAAAAAAAAGCATATATTATAAAATACTAAATACTCTGAATAGTTCTAGAATGCTAAAGCTAGTTTTTTTTTTTTTTTTAAAAAGTCACAAAGTAAAGTGCGTTTTTTTGCCTTTAAGAAGAGTAATACAGGCGAGGATTTCATAAGGCCAGTCACATAGCAATTATTCCATAGGGATAAGGTTGTTTAAAGAAACAGGTGAGGATTTCATAAGGCCAGTTACATAGCAATTATTCCATAGGGACGAGATTGTTTAAAGAAATTCAAATTCTCTGTAATCTTGGCTAGTGTTCCTTGGAGGAGTGAAGATTAAGTTTTTAAACCATCACCTGTACCTCCACTACAAACTAAATCAAATAGTATTAACAGTTGAATCCAAGAATTTTCTTCATGAAACAACTTCCAACTTTCAAAACATTCAAAAAGTAAAATTCTTTAAAGAGCTACCTTAAAATGTATTTACAAATTGGGGCTTCCCTGGTGGCGCAAGGGGTTAAGACACAACCTATGAAGCTGTCCGCAGCCACTGCAGCACGAGTTCGATCCCCGGCCAGGGAGCAACCCACATGGTGCAGACTTCTCCTGACTTACCCACTGTTCCCCTCAGCTGTGTATTTCAGTTAGTCTGCCTGTTGTGTTCCCTACTCTGTCTCTGGTGAATCCACTCACCCCCCACACTCTGGCCTGTACCCCAGTTCTTGTATGCATAAATAATCTTTAAAAAAATGTATTTACAAATTACATGGGGCTACTTCTAGGCAACATTAGAGAAACTATCCATAAGAACATGTATCTTACAGTGAAAGTGAAGCTAACAGGCATTTATGATATCAGGACCCAGGTAAGCACTGGCCCTCACAATCCAAAAGACTTAGATATCTTTTCCAAATGGTAGTACTAAAAAGAGAAGGAGGGGGGTCCCCTGGTGGCACAGGTGGTTGAGCACAGTGCTGTGAAGCTGTCTGCAGCCTCTGCAGCACGAGTTCGATCCCTGGCCGGCTAGCGAGATTCCCACTTGGCATGGCAGACCTCTCCTGCCTCGGCCGCTGCTCCCCTCAGCTGTGTATTTCAGTCAGTCTGCCTGTTCTGTTCCCCACTCTGTCTCCGGTGAATATTCTCACCCTCCTGCACATCTGGCCTGTGCCCCAGTTCTTACATGCATGAATAAATAAATCCTTAAAAAAATTAAGAGGAGGGGAAGAAAATACAAAAACTGCCCTTAATTGTGACCATTCCATTGGCATTACAACAAGATTTATTATATATCTACTCCAAATTCTTTAAAAGGTACAATTCAAACCAGCTTTCTAGAAATTCACAATTTACAGTATAATAGTTTTAGAGCAAGGGCTCCCGGTTCCCTATCTGATTCTATCATTTACTCAGGTGTATGACCTTGGACAATCATTTAACCTCTCTGTACCTCAGTTTCCCCTCTCAAGTGGAGATAATAACAGAGCCATGGCAGAGGGGTGTTGTATCAAATTAGTTTCTCCATGTGAAACCTTAGCATAATGGCTGGCATTTGGTAAGTATCATATAATTGTTGGTGGTGACATGGTGGAAGAAAAATTCAAAAATCCATTCCAACCAGAGCACAGAGCACAGTAAAATGTCTGGTGAGGTTGAATTAAACAAAGCAATGAAAATTCTAAGCTAGGCAACAGCTAAACACATTTGAGAATTTTATTTACACAATTTTTTTTCTATCAGGCTTACTATTTCAGAAATTCCCATTTCTACCCATTTGAGCAGGTCATGTGTACAGACAAAAAGGGCAAAAAATTCTGTAAGGTGTTGCCTGAAAACAGCAGACCCTGTTAAGTACACATTTAATAAAACACCAGCAAGAACACTAGAGGCAAATCTTGTTTGCCAGAATACTGTGAACCGCCAGATATGCAGTAATGGCCCCTGATGACCACTCACCCAAAGACTGTCCAGCCAAATACATAAGTAGGGGACGCTTACAGTGCATGGTCCTTAATCCCAGCACGTGGACTGTCCACTCCACAGGCACGCCTAGGGCCTGCTTCACCCAGCTCAGCTCCACACGAATGTGTGGGGGGCATGGAGTCTGACAAAGACCACTATCAGTCACTTATTTTGTGCTACTTTCAATTGTAAGAGCTGTGGAGCTCTAGAGAGATTCAAACAATTCTATCTAGTCCTGACAACGCTCTGACTAAAATATATCCAATTTTCTGTCCATTTTCCTATCACCTGCTCATCTCTCACTTTCTTTTCTTTCCTCTAGAAACTGCTTATCATGTTTAAGTAAACAAAAATAAATAGGTTTTTCCAACTAGTTGCAAAACTCCAATGCTTAACAGCACACATTGCATTTCTGATCTAATCCCTACTTACGCACACAGCAGGATGTTTCTGGGAGATATAGACCAAAGTTGATTTTCCTCTCTGTCAGTGTCCTGAGTGTCCTTGGCCTACACTGAACACACAATACTTTAAGCATAAGTACATTTTCTCAGTGTTTCCCTGGCCTCTAGCTAATTCCTTACATATGGAGAGACTGGTTTTGCATATAATCACTGTTTATTTCCTTAGTACATTTTCTATCTCCTGCAAATGTGCTGCCAATTGTTTAAAAGCTTTCTACTTCAAAACGCAAGTCAATAGAAAAGATGGGAGAGACATAAAAAGTAAGAGAAAGGCTGCTTTCAAACAAAACTGATTATGGTGTAACCCAGAGTTTTTGAATAATGCCAAAGCCAGGATGCAAAGCCACGCTGACAAACATACAATGCACTGCAAATGGAAAGCTAATGAATCAACCAACAACACTGACATGTATCTAGAAAAAGCATTAGGTAATGGGGGTCTCCATCCTACTAAAGTTGCAAGATGATATATTAAAGGAGAAACATTCTAAATTCTACCTGATCCTTTATTTTCTTTTAAATCCCAATGAATGATCCCATTGTATTTTTTCTTTTTTATTTGAAATGATACTTTATATAATTACTTTACCCCCTCCTACATGCTGACAAGAAATAAGAAGGTTACAACAGTGACTAAGTAATATAAAGAATTATTCACTACTAAGAATCAACATCTTTTGGCTTAATCATAAATCAACTTTCAGGCAGTGTCAGACTTATTTGTCTCTAATTCAGGATACTGAATCCCTTCAAGACTCTCCATTGGTGAAAAATTATCCTCCTAAATGACCAACTAAGCATATATATTAAGCATAGAAACAAATCTGTGTCCAGTTCTGGAGATCTCTATACTAGTGCTTGTTTTATGTCTCTGAAACATTGTGCTGTGGGTGATTTATTTTACATCCATGTCGCCAGCCATTTGTTTATTCTATTGCATGCCATCTGTTTTTCAGTAGGGAGGTTTCAAGTTCTTCTCATTCCCTACCTCATATCCCACAGAAAACAATTTATAATAGACATAGATTTCAATCATTTGGATTCATGTGGAGTTGGGAACCTGAGCTGCCTTTCTTTTATATTTGGCAAATGCTTTAATGGGATTAGCAAATTGTGTTATTACAAAGTGCTTACAGAGACACAACACCTCTTTTTACAATGACAAATGATGTTAACAGTCTCATTTAGGGTGCTTAATAGCAGTAAGAAGATTTCACTAATGTTACAGGAAATTGCCCTGATAGATAATAAAGTCCCACCACAAACCCTGCTCCTATCTTTTATTTCTGAGAGCCAACAACTTTGTGGCTCAGGAAATCATGGGGTCTCCAGTGAGGAATGAGGATCAAGCTGCTCTGGCTTGAAGGGAAAGCTATCATTTCACCTGCCAACCTGAAAACCCTGTCTGGCTCTTACATCTCAGTCGCAACCTCCAAGCCCTCCAACTACGGTCCATACGGTCTATCTAGTCCAAATTCTTAGAATTGATGGCAAGAAACGTTTACATTACAAGCTCCAGCTCGTCAGCACCAATTTATTCCCATTCTACAGCCCACTTCAATTTCCTCAAAAGTAGAGTCAGCCATTCAGAGAAACTACACAGATGACATTTAAAATATTAATTACCATTTTTACGAGAATCCTTGCTGCTTTGGTAGGGAGGAGGTATCTGGTGGCAGGACCCGGCAGCTGTGCACAGTTCAGGACTGACATCTGAGGGCTGAGCAACTTCCGTCTCAAGGTCTACTTGACTTCGACTAGTCCTTACCGATTCAGAATCAGAAATATTTAGGGGGCAAGTGACATCCTGATGGCTACCTGATGGAGTTGTTCTGCTGAAAGTGTTAAGTGACATTTGTACTAAAGCTTCATTGATGAAGAATGAATTTTGATGACATAAACTCTCAGATCGATTAAGTTCCATGACCTGTATGAGAAAATACAGAAAAAGTACAATAATTTCTCTAACAACTTGCACAGGTTTTCATACACTTCACAGGTTTTATTTATTCCTAACAGAATTTAGCAAGCAAAAGTTTGCTAAATGAGGTTGAGAAGATTTTCCCCACTCCCTCCTCCCACACCCTCTTAATGAGCTAGTACCAGAAACGTCAATTCACTAAACACAGCATATCTTAAAAAAAATAAATAAAGCAGAAGTATTCTTTGCCATTAAAGTGTTTCCACTTTGTTTTGATCAGAACAGCATTTTCACTTTAGCTAAATAAAGTTGAAGGCTTATACAGGAGGTATTTGCAATAAATGTAATTTAGTCAATTTGAAAGGAATAAAGATGCCACACAGATCTTTCTGATAAGTTCTCAACTTTCAGAACTTTATGCCCTATCAATAAAAAGCATGTGCTCACACAATACAGAAAATTAAACTCCTGGGACACAAAGGATCCTCAAACATGGTTAGAGAGGGTGCGAAGAGAACAGACTCTTATAAGAGACTTTAACCTGCTGGCTGAGTCATTAATTAGCATACACATATGGTTAAGGAAGGGGATTTTGAATTTACTATGTCAAATTTATGAAAGCGAATACGCTTGGAATGACAATAGCATTATACTGACTAAATAGTGGACCCATAATGCACATTAATGTTGGTCAATTTACTAAAAAGTACATCTATCCAGAACTTGGGAGATTAAACTACGTAAAAGGGTCCTGTTCACAGCGAGTGTGGCCCTAGGACCCACCTCATAGAGACAACCTCACGCCCCATCCTCACACCAATCCAACAGGATGCAGGCCTTTCAAACATCCGCATTTCATGTCAACACGCACATGCATTGTCTCTGAAAGGTGTCAACCTCTGCAGCCTGCACACTGAGTAGCTCTTACAAGGTCTATGCAACCGGCAAAAAGACAGACATTTGGTCACCATCTCGGGGTCACCATCTTGTGAATGTCCATGACTAACCCAGTGTGAGAAGCTGCCTTACATGCTGCCAGTGCAAGCACAGAAGACCCCTACCTCCTTGCTTCCTGGAGAAAAGGCGGCAGGAAGGCTACTCTGCCGGCTGTGTTTCCAGCTGCACAGCAGGTGTTGCTGGGCCCTCATCCTCTCCCTCTCCCGCTCCACCAGGCGCTGGCCCTCCCTCAGTCGCTCCAGATTTTGCTGGTACTCCTGCAGCTGCTGGTCCAGTTCCCCACGGTTCCTGAGCAATAGCTCCTCCTGCGACTGGCACTCCCGCTCGCGTTCCTGCAGCCAGCTCGCCCGGGCCTCCTGCTCCCGCTGCTGCTGGTCGCACCTGCGGTGCCAGCGGCGCTGGTCCTGCTGGAACTGGTGCTGGAGCTTGTGGATGTTGGCCAGCTCCTCCCGCCGCTTCTCCAAGTGGCGGGACTTCTCCTGGTCCTGAAAGGGGCTCCCTCGGAAAGAGGGGCCAGAGGACAGGCTCTCCTGCTGCTGGAGGACCAGCTTGTGGATCTCAATGTGGCTGTCCTGGATGGTCAAGGCGGCCTGTCGGAGCAGAGGGGACAGTCAAGGCTCCCATATTCCATTCATTTGTGGGTGGGACCACTGCTATGCACCAAAAGCTTAACCACAAAACTTTCTCTTAATAATTCTGCGCTTCTTCCAAGGTACACCCAAAGACAGGCTTGGGTACTTTAAGTAGGCTGGTCGACATTTCCTAGCCATACAGCCTGGGAATTTATATACAAAAGAAATGAAGCACAAAAGCAAAGCACACCCCCTGTTTTGGAAATGTGGTTTGTGGCTTGTTGTTGGATAGTATGTAAGCAAGTCTTCTGAATAAGAATTCAGTACATAAATTCACAAGATCCTGCATTCCTGCTCTGCCTCATTCTATTTCTGAAGTCTCTCCAGTCAATAATTCATAAGAATTTTTAAGATTCTCTATAAACCTGGTAGAATCCTTTACTTGAGTCCCAAACCAGAAATTACTTAAGCTGTATTACACACATGGCGATATAAAAATAAAAGTCAACCACTTGGAGACCTTTGGTAAATAATTTTTTTTTTAATACAAAGCCCAAGAATAGCAATTAATAGCATATTTAGGAGACATGTAAGTGGTAAAGCTAGCCTTATGATTGCTATTTCTTTGTATTACAGCACGAAGGTCATGCATAAAAGACTAAGCTGAAATTCATTTGTTTAATAGATTGCTAACAGGAGGCTGGAATGATTAAGGGAAGATAGATCCGCTAAAGCCCAGAGGACATTACCAACCAGATTAAAAAAACATTTTGAGTTACGGTATCTGCCTATGAAATGTTTGGCTGCATCACAGGAAATAATTGCCAAAATTTGGAAGGATTCCACAAAACCAAAAAAGTCCCTATATATGCCCTTGGAAGCTTTTAATTTTAAAAGTTCCCATTTAAAGCACAAAGCAGCACAGAAGGGACAAATTGAACTGGCCACATACTGGGTATGTGTGTGTGTGTTGACTCATTATGAGAAATTATTGCTCTCCTAGGGATAAATACACATTTTTCTTTCCTAAGAATTTTTAAGACTGTACATGTAACAGATGCTGGGAAGACAGGGATTTGACCATTAGTTATTTGTTACATCAGCAGTCCCATAGGTCGGAAGGCTAAAGAACTAAGAGATATTTTATTTTATTTTTTTGAAATATTTATTTATACAAGCACTGGGTACAGTCAGAAGCGTGGGAGGGTGAGGGAATTCACCAGAGCCAGAGCGGGGCACAGAACAGGCAGACTGACGAAACACTCTGCTGAGGGGAGCAGCGGGCGCAGCAGGAGAGGTCTGTTGCACCATGTGGGACCCTTGCCGGGTGCCGGGGATCGAACCGGCGCTACAGAGGCTGCAGGCAGCTTCGCAGCCCAGCGCTCAACCGCTGCGCCACCAGGGGAGGCCCCTTAAGGGATATTTTAAATTGGTGCTTGTCTTACAACATGACTCGAGAGTGTATTTGTTGAGGCCTTTTGAAATAAAATTAGTATTTTCAAATTTGAAAATTACTTTAAAAGTTTCAAATTCACCTGAGTAATGTCTTTTTTAGAAATTATTATAAAGCAAACAGTGATTTTATCATTTAGAATTTAGACTAATTACTTTGAGCTTTAAATATGAAATAATAAGCACATAAATAATATACCATTCAAGACTCTGCTGACCTGGCCAGAGCAAATTGTAGACTGTATGTCACCAGCTAATTCTACTAAACCCCAAGGGCATCAGTGGAATAAACAACAACAAAAAAAATCCAGTATTTTATATGTCAAAACTATCATAGCCAATAACTCCCATGTAAGGGTTACAATTTGTACCATGAAGTATTCTTCGTTCTAATTAACACTTGGAATAAGAATGGTGACGTTCTCTTTTCTGCACAGGGGTAGAATTTGGATATTGGAGATTCATTTTCACACTTAAAGTTTTCACTCACACTTAGGAAAGAGAACAGCTCTGCTATTCAAGTTTAGGGAAATTCCTAATTCACTCTCTCAACCTTTTCTTGCTGGAATAACTCTGTCTTCTCTTCCTTTCTGCCTTGCCTAAATTTCATGTTGAATTATATTCTCCTGATAATACACAGATCAAATTTCATTTTCATCAGATTAGAAATACTTACATAAAAACTTTAATAATGCATTAGAGAGCCTGTTTCAAAAGAGAGACTGTGCCTGGAACAGAAACTTTTCAGAGCCCACAGCCTTTGAGCAGGTACAGAGCTTTTGTTCATAGAATCCACTACAGAATTTGAATTTCCCATGTTGCTTCAGTCTAATGTGTTGCAAAAATTAGGACATTTAGATCACCTGCTTTTCTGAATATTGACTCCACATAGGGCTACATTCAAATTACGAAAGACAACTTTGGAAGTATTTTCTCCAGGCAACACAAGTCATATTGGTCAATGTTTTCATCTCCCAAAAGTTAATGAACGTTACTGGAACTATATGCCTTCTCAGCTAATTTAAAAGAAATTTTTTTACATGATAAATTAATTTTTAAGAACATCTACTCCATTCCAGCATATCTAATGTGAGACACTAAAGGCATTCCCCCTAGATTTTGATTTAAGACAAGAATGCTGTCACCACCATTATTGACCACATTTTCAGAAAGTCACACCAAAGCAGCATGCCAAGAAATAATAGAAAAACGATTAGAACAGACAATAAAATTCAGTGAGTTGGCCAGTTACAAAATAAATATTTTTTTTAAAAAAATCAATTATTTTACTTATACCAGCAACCACCATTGAGAAAGCATAATAATGAAAAATAAATTCACAAAAGCAACATAGAGACAAAGGTTTAGGAATAAACTTAGGCTTCCCCCCCACTCCACCACCACCACCACAAAAAAAAAAATTAATAAATAACAATAACACAGCTTCTACTTGAGACAATTGCAAAGCTTTTTGGCAGAAGCTAAGAGATGACTAGCAACATGTTCTCAGACAAGTGAACTGATTGTTGTACAAGTGCCAATTCTCCCCAATTTAATTTATAAATAAGAGATTTCAATGTCACAGACTTGGTAAGAGGTACAAAAGTTCAATGTGACTCTAAAGTTTTTAGGAAAGAAGATATAGATAAGCATAGAAAAATACTAAGAGGACACAAGGACTGCCATGTATTTAAATATAACCCCAAATTTTAATAATGAAGACAGTGGTGTTCCAGCAAGAACAGGCAGATGACCAACAGAACGTAAGTGAAAGAAGTCTTGACAAAACTTAAAGTAGATAAGAACACATCTGATGTAGCATGACTTCACATTTTTTTTCTGGCAAAAACTTAAGTCAGTCATAATTTTATCTTCTTTCAATATTCAACAGGTATAAGATAGGATGGGTGGATGGTCCATAAACCAGTGGGGCGGGCACTCACAAAGCTGGTAACTTTTGTGGATGAAAAAACAAAAGAATGAAGGAGCATGTGTATGACTTAACAGCCGTAGAGGCCTAAGGCCACATGTGGAAGTGAAAAGACTTAGGTGTGAATTTAAGTTTTCACCAGAAATGTGAAGTCATGCTATACTCATCTAGGAGTTTCACTGTAAGCTTCAACCCAGATCACACTCATCAATAATTTTTAGATATGAACCATTTTATGGTTTCAGAGCAGAATGGTGTAAAATGTAGTAGTGGCACTGCTTAATGATCACAAAACCAGGCGAGGTCCATAGAACCTCATCGCACGGCACATGGGGGCTGGCATTCTTTTAGGCTCATTCGCTGCCTCTCAAATGTTCTAATTTTTAAGGTCTGGGAATCATCAAATAATGTGAATTGCATTAAGTGAAACATTTACAATGTCAGTGATTGGAGGAGTGTGGTTACCTGAAGGCTGTATAAGAGACGGGTCAAATTCTGTATCGCTTGTATAATCTGGAAAATAAGATTGTAAGTGTCAAATTCTTGAAACAGCATTCATTATCCACAAGAAGAAGATGGTGATCTATTGAAAGTATGCATAGCTCACCTCTGACTGTGAAGAGACTGGAAAATGTCTATATTCCACCTAAAATACATAAAAACATAAGAAAATAACCACCCTACTTTTGAAAAGCTGCACTATAGTGTTCCCAAATGTCTGACCTTGGGCAAGTCACTTCACCTCCTCTCAACTCTTCTACAGAGACTGCTTCTTCCCCGAAATCAAAGCCTATGGAATTAAACCACCCTTGATGAGTGTCATCTCTATGCAAACCTGGTATTTGAGATGCACGGTGACTTTTCACCCAAATCGCCCTTAAAACTAGAAGGGATAACAGTATGGAAGCAATGCAAACTCTATGTGGCAATATTTACCTTGTGCAAACCACACTGTGAATTGGGCTCCCTGGGCCCAATGGAAGTTGTCGCCTGGGCCTGGTGGACCTTTGCATCCTGGAGGCCAAACTGGGGAGCTGAAGAACATCATGTCTGGCCTCTACTTCCCTTTCTCAATATTTAATAAATTCATAAAGCTAAAATTCATGAAGCCAGTGGCTAGGGAAAGACAGCAGACCTAGAAGTGGCCCAGAGGCATGTGCTTAGCAGGCCTGCTCCAAATACCAGCACTCAGGTGGCTGCACCCCGCTGTGAGATCCTTAGAGGAAGCTCTATCAGCAGAAGTCTTGAATGAGCCTGCAGGAGACCAGCTACTCCCTGGGAATGGGCCTATGCCTCATTCTCTGTCTCCCCCACAACACACATTTAGAGCACTTGTATAACATGAGGTTCCCTGCGTGCAGAATTAAACGTCTACCCCACAATCATTGTCTGTCTCGTCATACTAGGATGTGAGTCCATGAGTAGCAGGGCTTCATTTGTATATTCAATGCTACCTCCACAAACCTAAGAGTAAGGCCTGGCATGAGTGTGGACACTAACACTCGATTCCATATGTAAACACAGGGACCCAGCAGGAGGTCAGCTTCCCCGCCCTCCCAAAGCCTATTGTCTCCTGTACGCTGCTTGCTCTTATGTGAGCAGCTATAAATTAAAGCCACAGGAAACACCCAGCAGTGGCAATGGTCTCAGGTAACTTTCGACTTCTTCAGTTCAGTTTGTTCCCAATGATGATGCCATATGCTAGACTGATCCCTACCCCACTCCAACACTCTTCCCTGACACTGTCAATAAAAAATGTCATTACTAAGGAGCACCTCTAATAGTAGAAGCACAAAAGATGGAAAAGGAGTCATTAGATCTGTGGAAGAGACCAGGGGCTAAGAAAACCTATTCTGTCATAAGTTTTGGTATTCTCTCTGCTCTTCTGATTCTGTCCTTGCTCCACACACCATTGCTTTTGTAATAAAAAGATTGCATAGCACAGAATTTTTATATTCTATAAAATTGCAAACATAGACATGAGTTGGATTTTGCTACATGTAGTTACTTATTCCCAAAATCTCTGGGTTTCATACAGACAGGAATTTCCAGTACCATCTTTTTAATGGACTTGGTTCGCCACCTAGTGGTGACAGTGCATGGTGCAGTTGGTAAATACACAGGATATTTTGCCATTGGGGTTACAAATTTTTCAAAAACTTGGAAATGCATTTTTTAATTAAAAAACCTTAGTTTAATAAAGAAGCTAATTATGGAATACCATTACACACTTTGAAAAAGTTTTATTTCAAGTGATCCTGCCTTATATGTCAGTGTATTTAATTTTTCAAAATGCTGTTTTAATGGCAATTTTTTTCAGGCAGATTCATTCAACAGAGGAACCTGGACACTTAATCTCACTCACCTGTGGCATTAGGATGGGGCCAGCACAGCTTTCCATTCAAGAGGAAACTGTTACTAAGCAACCATTCCTTTTTCCCTTCAATAATATAAAAGCAGCTGAAAGTAACAGACTTAAAAAGGTGCACTGAAAAGGATGGAAGGCAGGAATGCTTTATGGAGAAATAATTTAAAAGCTTATAGTCAGAGTAAGTGAAATAAAATACTGCTATCTTATTTTCACTTTGGCCTATGAAGTTAAAAAATATCAATTACCTTTTCTATGGACTTTTAAAAATCTCTGGAGTTGGTTTCTTAGTTGTATGTAATATATAAAAAACATAACATATATATATATATATATATATATATATATATATATATATATATAAAGATCTGACATTATTTTCCCACATTACCCACATAGCTGTCTGATAATGTACTTTTATTTGATTTTAGAGAAAGTTAAACTCTTGTGCCCCAGACAAACCTGGGGAAGACAAATAGCCACATCCCAGAACAATATTCTTATTCCATTTCTGACATCTCAATTTCACTGGAATAGGAAGTTTCATGCATTTAATTTTTAAAATACAGTCTAATAAGCTCTGTGTATAGTAAATCAGAAATGTTGGAACCACTTTGCCCCAAGCAAAAATTGACCAGGTTAAATAAAAGCCTATCACAAAAAAAGTAGGTGACAGTGTGAGTGGTTACAGGAGAACGATTTGAAAGGAGAAGGAAGGAAAAGAAAATGACAAAAGCAGAATAGTCCCAAATTAGAATTATTTCAGCCACTTTAGCGCCCCCTGGTGGCATCTGGCCCTGGGGCCCAGAGCAACCGCTGAGCCAAGAGTTGTTCAAGGTAGCAGGTGGAAAGCTACAGGTTCCTGCAGAGCAGAAAGTGAGGCAGAAGTAAGAGTGCAGACACACATAGACATTTGAGTTTTAAATCTTTTTAATCACTTTTCGATTGTTTCTTTGTTCACACCTCCATGATATAAGAGCAAGAACATTTTAAGAAGAATTAGTCAGGAAATTTAAACATGAATATTGAAGCTGAGAACAGTTCAGGAAAATATTTTCACTCCACTCACTGCCATAGACAGCAGGACCTGAGGTCATTTTATCACACAAGGAAACCGGTGCCCAACAAATCAGTTCACAATACCTTCTCCCCTGCATCAGAGACCGCCAGGTCGGTTCCCACACCCTGGGTCCCGGGATCCACATCCCAACAGCCTCTTCCTTCAGCCCCTTCTGTGACTAGTGCTGGAAGCACACCGTTGAGACAGAAACAAAAAGACATCATCAAACATCAGCAGCCTGGGTTCCTTTGTACATAGTCGACACATATTTTGAAATAAGAAACATCACACAATCACAGGCATTAAATACGCTTCTACGAGGTGCTGAAACAGCACAGAGCAACACAGAGGCCCTGCCCTCAGGGAGCTTACAAACTAATAGATACCACACTGACAGCTGGCATTCATGATCACACATCTTTTTCTTTTTTCGTACAGAGAGGCATTTGTGTGATGCTTGTAGTGCTGAGAGGGTAGATTCTACATCTCACTTTCACTTAGTAGGACAAACTGAAATTGTGAACAGGCCTGCGGAGCAAAAGCACAGCCGACAGACCCAGGTCTGAGCATGGACCCTCCCGGCCCAGCCCGAAGCAGCAGCCATGAATGGGGTGAAGAGTCAGACAGTGGGGAAGCATCTCTAAGCAGGTGAAGATGGCTCAGAGGTTATGACCCTGTGGCCACACAAACTGAAAACATGTCCCCATCTTGAAATAATTTATTTTTTTAATCATTTCCAAGTGCTTTCCCCTCCCCTTCTTATTTAATAAGAAAAAAATTCTTATTTATGCTCTGAATTCTGCAAAACTTTAAGTACTGTATATTTAGCCTATGAAACACAGATACAGTTCTAGTTCAGAAGTATTAAGTACCAAATACAGGTTCCACCCTACCCCTCAAAACTCCATGGGTGAGATTTTATTTCTTTACCCATGTGAACATGGTTAAATGTATGCTATGGTCACCCTGCACTGATTAAAATTAGACTTTCCAGAGCCCTTTCACACATAGTATTTCATTGAAACCGCATCCAATCAGAATCTAAATGAAATATTTATTCTGTGACATTAATTTTTTCCCACTGCCATCTTGAAACTTTATTCCTAAGAATAAAATATAAGTTAAAGGTTTTGTTTTTTTCTTTGTTTAAATAAAAAATATTTAGGTCTTTGGGAAATGAGAGTCCTTTATGACTCAAAAGGCCTCTTCTATTACAAAGTTTTTGGTTACGCAAAAAGTGCTCTAAATTATATATATCAGCTAAAAAATTAAGTTCATTTTGCTCGAACTAGTCAACACTTACAGTGACGGAACATTTCATAGAGATTTTTCTACCACTCAGAACTGGTTCCACCAATGGATACTATTCTTAACTCTAGAGAGATGCCAAAGGCATTACCAAAGAAGTGGCAATCCTCTCCCTCTCTCCCTCTGTGGAAATGAGGACAATCAGTAATGAGGCAAGAAATGATGAACCAAAGGAGGGTGGAAGAACGGCATGGAGGTCAAGTCCCTCTAGTCCTGTATTCAATTTCAGCGAGGAGAAGAGGTTCTCAGGAATTTTACAGGAAGTACATTATACTGGTCCACCCAATCAGATATACTTGAAAACTCGAGGAGCCTGTTGGTCAAAAACTCAGACTGACATAGGCCTTACTTAGAAGGACGCTGTCCTCAATCACAGAACTGACCTGCGCAGTTACAGGCCCTCCTTTACAAACAGCATTTCGCTCTCGTCAACTTTATAAAGAGAACTGAGCTCTTGTAGCACCATGATCCAAAGCAGCCTAGCACTGAGGTATCTCTGAGGTACAGGCCTCTGCCCATCTGGCCCTGGACCTCATTCAGTGGGATCCTCATACATCAGGATCAGCCTCTCAGTGGTTCTAGCAGAGGCTGTGGGCCTTCCCTGGAACTTTCCCAGGTCATGGGAGATGTGGGCACAGCCGGGAGGACTACCACTGCCTGGCCTGAAGGGCGGGAAGGTACGGCCCTGGTCTCTGAGCAGCTGCAGGAGCCGAGAGGAACCCTCCAGCTGTCCCTGGGGAAGGCCAAGCAGCAGACCCTGCGTGTATTTTTAGATAGAGCTTCCTCAATGGCATAATGAGGTTCTTCTTTAGGGAGGAAATCACCCAGGGCAGTACAGCTCCCCTGATGAATCTGGGCTGTGTTAAAATGAAAAACATATGTGCATGTTCTGAAACTGGAAACCCAGGATTAGATAAAGCAAGACTCCAGAGGAGAAAATAATTATTGGTGTTTGTTAAAAAAAAAAAAAATACATAGAATTAAAAAGTTGTGTGACCTCCATATATCTTAATTAACCAAGGAATGCCACTGAAGAAATTCTAAGACAATTTAATCCTCCAGTCTCTAGTTACTAAAGACATTTTCTCTTATGCATATAAGACCTGATAGAAGTCAGATTTTTAACCATCCAAACATGATGAAAAATATACTCTTTAGCTCTTCTTTCAGAAGCCTTGAGGGAATTAAATATCTAGCTCACACCAAACATGTAACAATATCATTAGGCTCTAAGAATGATCTAAATCAGTTGTCTACATCCTATCTTTCTGTATTTAAAATATATTGAAACAACATCTTAACAAATGAATTCTGGCCTGAACTGAAGTGATAACATAGATCAAGAACCTTTTGGCACTTCTGCTTTTAACTACACCCCAAACCTTGTGTGTGTGTGTGAGTGAGTGTGTGTGTGTGTGTGTGTGTGTGTGTGTGTGTGTGTTGGGGGGAGGGGGGAGAGAGTGAGAGAGGATGGGGAAGAGAAAGGGGGGGGAGAGCGAGAAGGGGGAGGGGAAGAGAGGAAGAGAGAGAGAGAGAGAGAGAGAGAGAGAGAGAGAGAAACAGATTTTAGTTTTCTGGGTTCTGTTTCCTCCATTGATATGTATGAGATTAAGTTAAAGGACATGTTCTCTAATGAATTTCGGCCCCATACTCAAAAAACCCAAAAAGTTTAAAATTCTTTGAGAATTGAATTCCAAAGGTCAAAGATGAGACAAGGTAGGGGTGGGGAAGGAACAAAGCTGGCCTGGAAAACAGAGCAGTATGACCCGCCAGCCCTTCTCTGCGTCCTGTCCTCGGAAACCCAGCGACATTCTTGTGTGTACAGCAGGCTTGCACAGACTTATCCTCAGATTTTTTTCTGATTTAAAAAAATACATTAAGTTCCCTCCACACAGGGGCAGGCCGTTGCCTTCATTTTACGTGAGCACGCAGTGCTCCGGGGGACTGTCCAGGCTCCCGGCGGAGACCTGCGGGTTCACTTACAAGCGGTGGGTGATCCCGGAGCCTCCAGAGAATGGAGCGGGTCCGAGGCAGCTTCTCCACCATCTTCCTCAGATGACTGACACGCATCGCCCACCTGGGAGGCCTTCACTGCAACCTGCAGACTCTCCGCTAAAAGTAAAAAAACAAAAGTGCTTTTAAAAATGCACATGTAGGCGCAGCAGACCTCTCCTGTCTCGCCCACTGCTCCCCTCAGCAGTGTATTTCAGTAGATCCACCTGTTCTGCTCCCCACTCTGCCTCTGGTGAATCCTCTCACCCCCCTGCACCGCTGGCCTACACCCCAGTTCTACGCAAAAATAAAATTAAAAAAAATTTTTAAAATGCACAGGTATATATGCAGAGATAGAGGGAGATAGTTTAATCCACACCAGGGCTGACAAACTGCATTGGCCTGTGTCAAATAAGATGCTGCCGCATCCCTGATTAAAAATGTCCAATAACTTCCATCATTTTGAATAATTTTTAAAATTTATTTAATTACATATATTTTACATCATTCTTCCTTTTTTGTACAATGTTTGCTTTCTCCTCTCAGGCAGTCCCCATAGACCCATAGACCGGATCACCAGTTCCCCCGTGATCCATCACCACAGTCCCTTGTGCTCTTCCCTCTCCTGTTTTCATCCCTTTGCCTCCCCTCCCCTGCAGAATGTCTCTGATTTATATTTGCCTGTTAATTTTGTTTTGTTATTTATTATAATTATTTTTTTCCTGATCTCTTATATGGTTCCCTTATATTCCTCCTATAAGTGAAACCATCCGATATTTATCTTTTTCTTTTTCCTTCTGACTTATCTTATAACCCCTTCCAGCTCCATCCATGTTGCTGTGAATGACAAGAGTTTATTTTTTTTTTTTTGATTGTTGAATACTGGAAGAAATTTTTTAACCCCTGCCTCCAAAGTTCTGGTCGCTGCTCACCTAGGAGCTGTCTCCCCCAAATCCATCCTGGCCTCCTTCCTTTCCTTCAACAAGCCAAGCTTATTCCACAGACAGGGGCCTCAAACTCACTTCGTCTCTGCGCTGGAATAGCCTCTCCCAGATACCCTAACAGCTGCTGCTTCTCTCCTTTCCATGCTCAAATAATCATCTCGTTGGAGGACTTCCCTGACCTCTCTGAAGTGAAACTTTCACCTCATCCCAACTCCAGTATCTTATTTTCTTGTGACTTTCTGAAAGCATCTTGCTTCCCTGTGCATTGTCTGTCATCCCCCACAACAAGCATTCACCAAAGCCAGCCCGACTTCTCATCCCCAAACACAGTGCACAGGATAGAATGCAAGGAGACTCCATCAACAACCCCACCCCACTTCAGACAACCTCCAAGGACTCCCTCCAAGACCTCATTTTCCTCAACTATGAAAGAAAGATGACAGGTTCTTTGATTTTTAAATTCTGTTCCAAAACTAATGTTCAGAGATTCTAAGACAGCAAACTTCTGCAAAGGACCAGCTAGGAAATATTTTAGGCTTTGTGAACCATATAGTCTCTGTCACAACGATGCATCCTAGCCACTCACTGTAGCAAGAGGCAGCCACAGAGGACACATAACCAAGCAGGTGTGGCTGGTTCCAAAAAAACTGCTTTACAGAAACAGGTCATGGGACACACTCAGTTCCTGGTCTGTAATTCACCAACCGTGTGCTGAACGACTGCATTCCCCGGCACTCTCTCAGGTGGCAGCTATTTTATCTCCCAGGCCCTTTGTCCCTATTGTCACTTCCAGACTCTACTATGTCTGTCCCACCCCATTTTCCCCTGAAGTTTGTGCCAGCAGATCTTATCACTCTACCTTCACTTCTTGCCATTTATCCAGACACGCTGAACAATTTACTACCTGGTGAAGTCTACCCCCTCCCCCAAAGCTGTTTCTGTCAAATTCCATGAATTTCAAATTCTATGAATACAGTCCTTCCAATACCCTGGATTTTATCTCCTTGACGTTCTCATTTCCAATGCTCTTGCCCTCCCTCTACTCTGCCTTATGCACCACCAGCTCCCACAGTCTTACCCTAGACTTTATCACCATTGTCTGCACTTTGCCCCCACCTAATCTGTTCTAGTCAGAAGATTCTTTTAAAAATACAAATCAAACGTTTCCTATCTCAATATGAATGATAGTCAAAGTCCAATTAACATTGACACATCCCCTGCCAGTCTCCAGCCCTCATTAAATTCTTACTTGCATTGACCTCCTTGTTGTTCCTCAAATAAGTCTGGCACTAATCTGCTCAAGGCCTTTGCACCTGCTGTTGCTTGTTGTGAAACATTCTTTGTCTAGATATATAGTTGGCTTTCTCACTTCCTTCATGTCTGCTTAAATAACACCATATCGAAGAAGCCTTCTCTGGCCACCCTGTCTAATACAGAATTCATCTATCCCAGCCCCACCAATCTCTGTCCTTCCTACATTGCCGATTTTTCTTCACAGCACTTGATACGATCTGATGTAATTATTTCTTTTTCTGGAATATAAGTTCCAGGAGAATAGCACTTTGTCTTATTCTGCTGTATCCTCAGCCCCAGGAACACAGTGCATGGCACATAGTAGGGGTTCAATAAACATCATCTGACTTTGTCTAAACAAATCCTTTTGGAAGCAACGTACCTTCCTTCAGTGCTGCTGCCAATAATGAGGCTGCCTGGGGAGGCTCTCCAGGATCAGGTTTAATGAGGAGGTGGGGCTCTAGATGGACATCCTCAAATCCACTCATTTCTCCAAGTTCAGCATAGATGTGCAACTTCTCCTCCAAATATGTGCAAATTTGTTGGTCTTGGTTACTGAGTATTTCTGTGAAATAGCATTTACCATTAAAAGTTATCACATGAATCATTAATATGAAAATCCAGGTTTCAAGGAAAAAACCATTGCTAATTAGTTAGCAGATAAATTACAAGTTATCAGGTGGAGAAACTAAGCTATAAATCCTGACTTTTAGTGACAGGGGCCTTTTCCAGCAATGACTTAATAGTTCTCTGAGCTTCCATTGTATTTTCTGTAAAAAAGGTACTCGTTAAATGTTTGTTTCTTTTCCCATTTCCCTAATTCCAAAAAAAGCTTGCAAAGCTATTCTTTGTTTATTCAGGCTGTTTTCTATTAAGACTAAACATTAAGCTCAGGAATGAAAATTGAGGCAGCACTGTCTGTGATGAGCCATACCCGCAAGGAAAACAATGCAAAGGCCTGAAACTGCTCGGACTTCAGCCGGTCTTGGTCAAAACCAAACACACTGGTTTACTTTTTTATTCCTAAACCTCCAATTTCTTTCACCATCTTTGCATGCCTCATTTTCCTCTGATTTCAACACATCGCAGAACTCTTAGTGCTTAAAGGAACCTTAGCCAGCATCTAATGCAGGGGTTCTCAGTCTTCTCAGCCTCTGAAACACTGGAGGAGAGTTTAAAACACTGATGTCTACACCCCACCTCCCACAAATTCTAAGTGAACTGGTTGAGTGAAGAGCCAAGTATCAGTATTTTAAAGCCCTCCCCAAGGACTCTAATGTCCAGCCAGAGATGAGAAACACTGAACTAATCTAATTTGCTTACTTCAGACATGGGAATGAAACATCAAGTTTTGGGGGGTTCCTTTTCCAAAATTATGCAGTTGTGACCTGACAACAGTGCTGGAGTCTGAAACCCATGGACAACAGTTCCAGTGCCCATCTGCCCCATACTGCCTGTTAGGGGAACAGTATGTCCTGAATGAGCAGTGACATGAACTCCACCCGCACTCCATATGAAAGAAATCCCAGGCACCAAGGAGTACAACTCCCATCATGCCATGAATCTGCCATGAAGTGGGGATTGCCAGGAACTAAGGGTGGAGTTAAGCAGCCATGTGTGGTATAAAACTGAACACACGTGGGCTTGGAGGAGGCTTGGTCCTGCCTGCCTTCCACATGCACCTGGGGTCCCAGTTCAAGCAGCCTTACTGGTAGAACATATTCAACAATTAATTTCTCTTTATCCCCCTTTTTCTATTTCTCCCTCTCTTCTGTGTGTGTGTGTGTGTGCGTGTGTTGTGTGTTCCCCTCGTTTCTCTCCTTATAAATAACCTTTTACTAACTTTTCTATGTGTGCCCACCCTTGGGTCTTATTGAATTTTATTAAGCACATAGGTGAGGACTTACACCCAGGCCATCCCATTTCCCTTTGGGGTTGCCCTGTAACAAATATTGTTTCATATTTGTTATCAACAGAACTTTTAAAATATATTTTTAATCACTTTCTAGTGCCAGCATGCTTTTTGCTATTGTTCTTTTCAAGACAGTGATCAGGGTGGGCCTTGGGTATACAGAATAATCAGGTAAAAACTCCCATCTGTGCTTCTGATCAGGAAAGCTGAGAAGCCTGTGCTGTACCTTGACATTGTTGAATTTTGGCCACTCTTGCTTCAGCTTTCCGCCTCTCCTCATCAGATTCGCTTGTCCTTCCCCCTTCTTCTTCTGGGCAACTTTTAAAAGACAACAGTCAAGAGACACAACTGAAAACAAATCAAAACTCTTTATGTTCACTACAAAGACATGGGACTTGGCAGAGTTGTTCAGAGAAGAAAAGCTCAGCAGAGAGCAAATTTATCATGTCCCCTAATTGAGAGATCTGGTTTTCTTCAGTGCATGAAGGATCTTGCATAACTTGATGTGGTCAGCAGTAGAGGATAACTCAGAGATTTCATTCAACACACATGAACACATACACCTTCTCTCTCTCATTCCCTCCTCCCCCTTAATACCAAAACCAGCATTAAATACACCTAAAATAATTTTTCCTTTCTACTACACTTGGGTGCTACTATTCCTAGTGTAGCGTAGGAGTTAGAGGAGATGGAGGTAGGGTGCCAGGTTGGATGCGATATGGAAGTGGAAAAGCTTTATGTAACATCATTCAAGATCAAACTAATCAAATTATGATTAAGAATGAGCATGCCCACCCTTCTATGCCCATTTATAGTTGCACAAATAATGAGGACTAAATTAACTTAGAACACATAGATGCACCAATCTAAAAATGTTTATTGAATGAGTCTCCAGAATTAGGGACACAGATGAACATAAGACATGGCCCCTGCCCTCAAGGAGCTTCCAGTCTAATAAACATAAATATACAAAAGATGATAATAGCTAGAAGACAGTCTACATGATACACACCAAATAAATGATAGAGAGAAATGTGCTAAAGAATTTCAGACAAGGGAGAGACCACTGAGACTGAAGAAGTCTTCACGAAGGCAGTAAGCCACCAGCTGCACCAAAGATGAATGGGATTCACACAGGCAGAGGGGAGGTGGGGCATGGCATGCAGGGAGACATGGAGAACAAAGCTGCAGACGAGGAGGAGCTATCGCAGGTGGGTTTGGGGGGCAGGGAGCTGAGCGTTCTCGCTGAGGCAACATTTTGATGCAGGGGAGACATGGTTAGAATATCCAATTAAATAAGTCCATTCCCTGGATTATGGACAAAAGAAAATGTTACCTTTCTACTGCCTGCTGGATCCGTCTCATCCAGTTATTTCGTTCCTCCTTGGAATTAGTATGAATTTCATACATCTCAGGACCAGCAGAAGAGGCACTGATGAGAAACATCCCTCTCTCCTCATTAGCAACTTCTCTAGCAATAAGCTTCTGAAGGGAAATAACGGATGGCTTTTGATCCTATATAAAACAGGAGGATGCGCAGATGAAATAAGACCTACACACTTAGATCAGGGATGCAACAGCTGTAGGCAAATCTTCATTTCATTTCAACCCCTCCAGAAGAGCTGTGGAAATTAATGAGATCTCCAGTGAAGAGGATATGTGGAGGAGAAGATGGAAGATGAGGAGCTAGGCAAATATCTGTACTTACAAATGCGTGGTTTAAAAGGACAACTCTTAAAAAGATAGAACAAGCAGGGCAGTAAAGGAAAAATCAAAATATTGGGGGTGGAGTGATTTTTCTAGAAAGGCAGGGGATAGGAAATAGAAATGTTGCAAAGAAATTGGAACAAATGAAAGACAATAGAGTTCACTGGATTTAACAGTTAATAGCAATGCTGTTTCAATAAGGTGATAGTTACAGAACCTCGGGTACCAAGGAGTAAACTGTAAAATGAAAAGAATGAGAGATACAACAAATGTTCTCTGCTGTTATAGTAGAAGGCACAGCAACAGAACTTCCATAGTTCTACCTGCAAATGCTTCTTCCCACCAACCAAACAAGCCCTTGGTGGACAGCAAAGTGTCTGATTCGTTTTAGTCTGCCTGCCACAGTGCATTGTATACAGTAGGCCTCTAGAACTAGGTTTAGCATAATTACATCAGAGAAGGGAATAGGAAGAAAGAAGACTTGAAGCCAAATCATGATTAATCTCTTCTAACAACATTTATTGTGGTGGCTCTTCAATGTCCCATCCTAAACACTGGGCAACTCAAAGTATTCTGATATTGATAATATTCATTTGGGTGGGTAGTGGTAGTTGAGGGAATGGGCAAAAGAATGCCTGAAGGATGAACAGTTTGAGGGTAAGTAGGAAGAATCTTCTTTGGTTTGTGGCTTCCACCACTGTTTATAGAGTCAGTTGCATTATGTGGTTTTTGTTCTCCCTCATGGACTGAGTGACGCCTTTATCCAGAATATGCCACTCCATACCTCACTGCTGGCTCCTTTCTGCTGACTTGTCTGCTATTCCAGTCACATAGCTCTGCCACATCTGACACTGTGTGCAAGGGTGTACCCAGAATGCCTCATTAGCCCATTCTTTGAGTAGACAGACACACACATAATCATGAGACAGACTACTAGTCTACCCAGTTACGTGCTCTCCTCTGCAGATGGAAGCAGTGTTGACCTCCCATTTAGGGGTTGCTCCTGAGCATGGCTAATAGCCAATAACAATTGAATTCAATTATGATCTACTATCTAAGACATTATCTGCTTTCCTTCTTTCAAATGCAGAGCTTTATCTTCCTCAGTTTACAAAGAGGCAGAGTAGGCTTGAGTTGCTTAAGACATCTGCAAGAATGAGATTATTTGAACTAGTCAGTTAGTGTTTCAGGAGGAGGGGAGTTGGTGGTGTCAGATATTTTGTCTCTAACAGTAGGTGGGTAGAAAGCGACACTAATTAAATCAGACCAGGAGGCATGTAGGACATGCCCATCGTTATTCATACTGTCACACATGAACACCAGAGATAATTAAGAAGCTAAGTTAAGTCTCTTAGGAAAAGAGGTAACATGTCTGCTTTGGAGGCAGGCAGAGGTCAAAAATTGTTAATACAATAACCTCCCAATACACCCTGCAGAGATGTTTTGCTTGTGCCACAGCATTTAAATAACAGATTTTTCTTTGTAACAGCTGTCAACATTTAAAAACTGGGGGATTCCCCTTTTTAAGAAATAAAACTTCTAGGGTCTCCCTGGTGGTGCAGTGGGTTGAGCACAGCACTGTGAAGCTGTCCACAGCCTCTGCAACGTGGTTCAATTCCCGGCTGGCCAGGGAGATATCCACATGGCACGGAAGACCTCTCCTGTCTCACTCACTGCTCCCCCAGCAGTGCTTTTGGTCCTTCAGCCTGTTCTGCTCCCTGCTCTGACTCTGGTGAATCCTCTTGCCCTCCCGCACCTCTGGCCTGTACCTCAGTTCTTGAATAAATAATCATTTAAAAAAAGAAATAAAACTAGATTTCTGGGTTCTTGGGTAAAAGCAGAAGATTGGCAATCTCACTTCAGAATGCTGGCTAAACTGGGTAATGCCTTCTCTGAGTGAGGGCTTTCACTCACCAGCTCACTACAGTTCCCACCCTCCCTGTCCGTGTTACTAAGCACAGTCCAGTTCATCCAATTACATTCCCAGCCAGTCCCTGTAGACAATGGAGTTGACCTCTGCCATGGGAGAAGAGGAAAAAGAGCTGTTACCTTCAGCCCCCTTATTACGCCACACCCATTTGTGATTCTATAAAGTGGCTGATTCTATAAGTGAGATGGGTAGAAAGTGACCATTCCATTCAGGATGTCACTGTAACGAGAGCTTAAGGTTGCTTCTCATTTTGAACTTCACACTTGCACATCTATATGTTCACTTGCTTATTAGTCATTCATTTTGAAATTACTCTCTTCGCTTTTAAGACATCCTCTTACACTCAGTATTCCAGGATTTATTGAACAAATCTATTTTTTCCTATTCCTTTCCTAGATTGGGTCCTACTCCAAATTCTAGTTGAGTTCTCCTTAAAAACAGATCAAATTTTCTTGCAAGGATGTTACCCCATCCTTTTGCAATTTTCAGTTGCTTATGTTCTGACCACTTCCAATTCATCATGTCTTCCACAACACGTAGCAAAAGCATCTATGCGCTCTTCTAATAGGACAAAAGTCAACAAATCTCACCTGTTAGCATAAAGATAGCTTTCTAAAATGCTAAAGTGCACACTAGAAAATCCAGACAGTTGCATACCTCTCACTGATGCATAAATTCCCTCAAGATTTAACTATAGGGGCCTCCCCTGGTGGTGCAGGCAGTTGAACGCAGCCTCTGCAGCGCAGATTCGATCCTGGCTGGTCGGCGAGAAACACACATGGCGAGGCAGACCTCTCCTGTCTTGCCTGCTGCTCCGCTCAGCAGTGTATTTCGTCAGTCTGCCTATTCTGTTCCCCGCTCTGTCTCTGGTGAATCCTCTCACCCTCCTGCACATCTGACCTGTACCCCAGTTCTTGTATGTATGAATAAATAAATCTTTAAAATATATATATTTAAAAAAAAGATTTAACTCTAAAACATCTACAATACATAGATCACATAGTAGAGTACACCTAACGCTTTCAGGTTAATGGTTCCTCTTCTGCTCCCTGGCATGGGGCTGGCCTTTATGAATGCGACCACATGTCAGGCTAACATATTCAGTAAACAGCATTGGCATCATCTTACTGTTGTTCAAGGCCAAATACATTTTGCCAAGCTAAGACGTGGCTGCCTTCATTCTGGCATTTTCTGGATTACCTTCCTAAAGCCCCCACTTTATGGTAAGTGTGCTCTACTAGTGGCACAAATAACTCTTGAAGAGATAAGAAGGATGTATTGGTATTTCAAGTCCTACACTAATTTGAGCGTAGCACTTTGATCTGAATCCACAGGCTATGTTGTCCTAGAATACTAGGGAATTGTCTTTATGCTGAGGCTATTTCTTGTTCTGTCGGTAGGTCCTATGGCCTATTATACCAGTCAAAGAGCAGATTTGCTTCTCTTTCAGATCTTTAGTTTTGAAGAGACTTTTGTTTCTATAAAAATGTGGTAGAAATTTGTTTTCACTTGCAGCAAGGTTCTCACCAGCCCCATAGGTCAAACAAAATGGTATGACCCTGTCACTTATTTTCTCTGTGTGCTTTCAGAACACCTTAGGGAGAGGCTGCTTGTCAAATCAGCAGGTTGTCATTAAATTCACAATATATATAGTTCAAATGGCTCAGAGACATGAGGACTTGTTTAAGGTCTCTTGTTATTCTCTGGCATGGACTTGTGAAAGAATCTCTGACTTTTGTACAACTTGGCATCATTGTGCTACTGAAATGCTATGCACTGAATGAGCAAGGTAAAGAAGCCTATAGGGCAGGCTGACAGGTTTGGGCAGGCAGATGAGGCCCTGCTCCAGCCTCTTCCTCCCTAGCGTCCAGCACTGAGCTGGCATGCTTCTTTGTATTCTCTGAACAGCATAACAGAAACTTCACTGAGGTGTGGATGTGCCAAAGGATTTGCCAACTGGATTACCAGTTGGAATTGATGACATCTGTTAATGGTACCCAAATATGCTATTATTCAATGGATGATAAGCATGAGCATTTTAAACAGCCACCACTATACTGCTACAATTGGTACTGCATCTTGGATTCTTTCCTCGAACGAGGCCTGATGCTCCATGGTCCTTGCAAGGAGCTAACTGATGACATCTTCCTTCATTAAGTCAGTCATTTTTGGACCATAAGACACTATATAAGAAATGTTACACAATGCTGATTTACTGCTACTCCGAGCTAGCAATGAGATTAATATACCATTACAAACATCAGTCATGGGAACAACCTTAGAAATCAGTAGCCATTATTGTAAAAACAAAGAATAATTTTTATACTTTCATTACTGGTAATGAAATGGTATTCTGTTTGGTAGAAGGAACATCATGACAGTTACGGAAGGGTTAGCAACAGGCACAGCAGGCACTATCCAAGGAGACAAGGGAGCGGAAGGTGCCAGAGTGACCTGCCACTCCTAATATTAATGTTTTGTAGCTGGAGCTAAGGAAAGTCCAAGAGTAGGGTGAGACAGGGAGTGAGGGGCAGGGTAGGGGGGCGGTGCACATCTGGAAGAAAGATCAAGATAGCCAGATGCAGAGGGTCACGTGGGGCTCAGGGTAGTGCCTATTCACCAACCAATACCAAAGTACTTTAATATTTTCACCGTTGGTTAAACTGCTCAGCCAGCTGACTATCAGCTCTGGTCAACACTAGCTTCTAGTTAAACCCAATTCGATGTTTGTTACTGAATACTGCAATCACTCATATGGGGACTACAACAGGAGCATTTTCTCACCAGTAACCATTCAATTTCCTGAGGTATTTCAGGCATTTTTCAAAATGTGGGAATAAACTAATTAAAATAGGCATCACGTGCCCATATACTTACAACAGCTGCAAAGATGTACTTCTGGTCTTTCTCTTGCAAAAAGAGCAGCACATCAGTTAGAAGTAGAGCTAGAATATCTTCGAAGAAAAAGACATTGCTAGTATTAATGAAGCAAACCACAGCTCAAATGTCTTTATTAAATATTCTGATTTCATATTTGAAATTTTTAAGCTTAATTAAAATGAAAAGATTAAAATTGAGACCTTTATACAAATCCCTGTATTTTGATAGCCAAAGATTCATTTGATAAACAATTTTAGTAGATGAGTTGTGTTTAAGTGTGCAAGTTTGTGTGTTTACCTCCAGGTGAGTCTAAATCTCCAGAAAAATTTTACAGTTATAGCTTTCAGAAACAAGAAAAATGTCACATAGAAAGAAGATTCTAATAGAATAAAGCATGTTCTTAGTGAGGGTTTGGGGGGGGGCGGTGAAGAGGGTAATGCTTAAAAATGCTACTTAATTAAAAATTCTTTCGTGAATTATACATACAAATCTGCTATTTTATCCCATGTAGATATGAGGGAAATTTACAATCTCATAATTCCTTTAAAAATTACTCATAAGACCTGATCCTTACTACACTGCTGAGCATTCTAACAAATTTAACAAACCTTTGATTCTACAAAATGGATAAAGAGCAAATGACTTGGAGCAATAGGAACTACAGATTGTGATTAACACTTTAGTTGTGGTTAATATTCTAATTGTGGTTAATGGGGAGCTGTAACGTTCCAAGTTGCTGATGAGCAAATCCCATTTTAGTCATTAGCTGCAACCACCATCCACACTTGATAATCCTCCAATGAGTTACCTTTGAGTAACTACAATTCAACAATCTCTTCCTCTCCTTGCATACCTAAGAAAGTTATTAGGACATATTAACAACAAGGAGACCATTGTTCCTAACCTGGCCACAGAGACTCCCTGGGAGTGTTTAAACATTCCTGTGGTTGGGCTTTATCCCCAGACCAATAAAACCAGAATCTCTAGGAGGAGACTGAGCATCAGAAATTTTCTTAGGCTTCAGAGGAGATTCAGTGTGTGGCCAAGGTTGAGAAAGCCTGGATCAGGTTAGGTGTTAGCTACAGAATAGGCCCTTAAGAACTGGAACAAACTGTTTCAGACTCTAACCAGATTAAGAGAGTCAAGTTAATTTCCATTAACAAACAGTAGCTTTAAGGAAGAGTTGACAACAATGTCAACATGTATATTTATGCATTATATTAGTCAGCAACAAAGATAACAAACAGTTCATTTCTCCCCTCCATGTTCTGGCAGTCCCACCTGGCTTGGCATCCAACAGACCTAGGTGGGTAGGCGTTTCGTCTCACTTTCAACACATCACATTTGCCAGAGTAGGGTTTCTGTGCCAACAATTAGCAGAATCCTCAGTTCCTTTGATTCAAACATCACAAACTTGTGGGCTCATAAATACATATGAAGACTTTTGCTTGGGGCTGCCAACGCCCACCAAGCATGTGTGGTGTTGGCCATGTTTGCCCACTGAAGTTCACTAGATCTTACAAGAATCTTGCCACTGACCCTGGATGTGTGTGTGTGTGCCTGTTTTTCTGAAATATTTCTCTCTTAAAAATCTGTCCTCTGCCAAATGAAAAACATGTGTGAAAAGAGGAGGAACTGGTCTTTTGGAACCACAGTACCTTTGAAACGACCCGTAGCAGTTTTCCAATAAACAAGGCCATCATATAATAGAGTCCTTTCTTTACTTATCAGCGTCTGCTTCCTGAACACATGGCCGTTTTTGAGCTTTGTATATGTTTTGTTTTCAATCTTATTTAGAATCTCAAGCCATTTTTGTTTTTTCTCATATTCGCTGACTTTCAAATCCACGGCTGCAATCATGTCCTTAATTAAGCAAAGGGCTTTGCATAAGTCTTTATGTTCTTCAGTTCTTTCTGCATGGGGAAAAAAAGAACACTGTACAATAAGCCAGAATAATAAAGGAGACATTTTTTTCTTTACTTTTAAATATAATTAAATTTATCATCCAAATAGCAAAAATCTCATATAAAATGTTAAATTCAAATATTATATACACACTCTGAACCCTCCCTCCCAAAAAACTGCCATTAAGTATTTCATTATACAATGATTTTTTTTTATCAGATGTGTTTCGGATTAAACATTGAGATAAGAAAATGTATGAGCTCTGGGGACTAATCTGATCTCCCCTTGGAAAGGGGAATGTGTCATACACTAAATTCAGCCTTCCCCCCATCTTCCCAAATACTGGTAATCAAGAGATCCCCACACCAAATTTCTTAGATGTCAAAGGGGCCACAGACCCAAGTTGGTGTCTTTTCACTAAAGGGAGTTGCAAGGTAACTTGAATGGGCTCCAAACTTACATGCCTTCCTCTGTAGGCCCCTTCCTCCATAAAAATAGTATTCAAAATTATATTTGATGCAAAAGCATGATGAAGAATATATTAACAAAATATATCAAGATATTTTTCAACCTAAAAACTGGGATGAAGACACTGTATCCATGAGAGAGTTCAGACTTGCACATGTCAGCACAGTTGATAGCCACAGATTACAGTTGTTCATTCTTTAACACACTAGCCACCTGCTCTTATACCTAGATTATCTAAAAAAAAGTCTGGAGGAGTTTCTGGAACAGTCTCCTGAAACTCCAGATAAAACTGAACTTAGCTATCTTCTCTACTTGTAGATAAGGGAAAAAAATCTATTAGATGTTCACTGAGGGAATGAAAGTATAAGGGAAAGTATCAGAAGATGAGAAGGTGGTAGAGAAGAGAGTAGAAAAGAAAAATTTGCAGAGAAAATAAAAAGTTCCTGAGGCCTAGAGCACCAGAAGTAAGAGCCAAATGGAATGAGAACTAATCTTCCTAAGGTCTACACATTTCTAAGTTCTAAATGTTTTAAAGATATATAGGGTTTTGTCAGAAAGCTTCAAGGAACAGATCTTGACACCCACCTTTAGCAAGGAAGATACTTCCTTTCCCACTACCACTGAATAAAAAATACCTCATTGCTTTAGTATACTTCCTGCCCTTCTCATAAGTAGGTTCTTCTTTCTAAAAGGCATATTTTATAAATAGGAAGTTCAGTAGAGAAAATCGAAGGTGAGTTCTAAGGTGACTTGAGGTAAGACCAAGAAAAGTTTCTAAGTTTTTTGGCCTTCAGGGGTAGATTACTATCTTACAATAGCTTGCTATTCAAAGTATAGCAGTATTGGCCTCACCTGAGAATTTTGATAGAAATGTTGTCTTGCGTCTACTCAGACCCACTGAATCAGAATCTGCATGTAAGCAAGATCCCAAGGAGAATGACACCGCCTAATAAAGTCTGAGAAGCACCACCAGAAGAGTCACACAAACCAACATTTCCAGAAGCCAGAGAGAGAACTGACCATTTGACCTTCTAGGCTTGGCCTAGAAGAGCTGTGTCTATTCAGCCACTATGACAGTGCTGTCTGAGAAGCTGTAAGTCATACTTATCATTTCTGACACACAGCAATGGTTGTTATTTATTCTACCAGGAATTTTGCATAGGATAATTCTTGGAGTAGTGCTACATGACCTAATCCAACCTGACAGATTTTAGTCTTTGAAATGTTGTATTAAATTTGAAGAGACTATGAAAAAGTCTTAATTTTGCTGAGAACAAAACGTAGGTGACTCTTCTCCTTTGTATTTGTTTTTTCTTTTATGTTAAATCATGGGGAGCACTCCCCTAAATATCTACCCAAAGAATACAAAAACAGTAATTCAAAGGGATATATGCATTCTTATCTTCATTGCAGCACTATTTACATTAGCTAAGATATAGAAACAGCCTGAGTGCCCAGGGACATAGGAGTAGATAAAGGTGTGGTATATATTACACAATGAAATACCACTCATCTATTTAAAAAAAAAATTCTTTTTGCCATTTGTGACAACAGGGATGGAACTGGAGGGTCCAAAATAGCTGCTTTAAAAATAATTTTCAATTGAACAAAGGAGAAAGGAGGTATCACACTTTCAAACTTTGAGCTATACCACAAAGCCATAAAAATTAAAGCAGTTTGGTATTGGAACAAAAACAGACACACAGACCAATGGAACTGAACAGAGAGCCCAGAAATAAAGCCACACTTATATGAACAACTAATCTTTGACAAAGGAGCAAAGAATATGCAATGGAACACAGACAGTTTGTTCAATAAATGTGCTGGGATAACTGGACCTCCACATGCAAAAAAAAAACAAATGAAACTAGACCACTACCTCTCACCATGCACAAAAATCAACACAAAATGGATAAAAGAACTCGACATAATACCTGAAACCATAAAGTATATAGAAGAAAATATAGGTAAAACACTACAAGACATACATCTCAGAAACATCTTAAAAGACTCATCACCCAAAGCAGTGATAGTGAAGGCAAAGATAAACACCTGGGATTACATCAAACTGAAAAGCTTTTGTACAGCCAAAGAGACATTAGCCAAAACAGAGAGACACCCCACTGATTGGGAAAAAATCTTTGCACTTCATTCAACTGATAAGGGACTGATCACAAAGATATACAAAGAACTCACACAGCTCAACAAAAACAAAATAAACAATCCAGTCAAGAAATGGGCAGAAGAATAAAAAAGACATTTCTCCAAAGAGGAAATGCAAATGGCCAACAGGCATATGAAAAAATGTTCAACATCCCTTATAACCAGGGAAATGCAAATCAAAACCACACTGAGATACCACCTTACACCAGTAAGAATGGCACATATCAAAAAAATAAGCAGCAACAAATGTTGGTGAGGATGTGGTGAAAAAGGAACTCTCCTACATTGCTGGTGGGAGTGCAAACTGGTCCAGCCACTGTGGAAAGCTGTCTGGAGGTTCCTCAGTCTACTAAAAATGGAGCTACCATAGGATCTGGCAATTCCACTACTCGGGATCTACCCAAAGGACACAAAAACTGATTCAAAAGAGCACCTGTACACCTATGTTTATTGCAGCACTATTTACAATAGGTAAAACCTGGAAACAACCCAAATGCCCAAAGATAGATGACTGGATCAAGGAGCTGTGGCTTATATATACAATGGAATATTATTCAGCAATCAAAAAAGATAAACTCATGCCATTTGCAGCAACGTGGATGGAGCTAGAAGGTATTATGCTCAGTGAAATAAGCCAGAAGGAAAAAGAAAAATATCGGATGGTTTCACTTATAACAGGAATATAGAGGAACCAAATATGACATCAGTGTAAAAAAATAATAACAGTAAAAAAACACAATAAAGCAAAAACAGACAATTATAAACCAGAGACATCCTGCAGGGGAGGAGGAGGGAGAGGGATCAGAAGGAGGGAGGGAGGAGCACAGGGGACTGTGGCGGTGACGCATGGGTGCCTTGGGGAAGGAAATTCTATGGGGACTCAATCTGAGGAGGTGGAGGAAAGCAAATATTGTCTAAAAAAATTTAAAAAATTATAAATGTTAAAATGAAATAAATAAAATCATTTTCAATCTAAAAATTCACTGACATTTGATGGTAAGGTCAATTACTTATTTTTTCATCAGACTTCTAGGAAGGCAATAGGAAGATGAAGCAGCAGCAATATTATGAAGGCTTAGATCTAGGGAAAATAAAGAAGTAAAATTCAGGGGCCTCCCTGGGGGCGCAGGGGTAAAAGACAGCACTATCAAGCTATCGCTAGCCACTGCAGCATGAGTTCAATCCCCAGCTGGCCAGGGAGCAACCCACATGGTGCAGCAGAGCTCTCCTGCCTCGCCCGCTGGTCCCTCAGCAGTACATTTCAGTACATATGCCTGTTCTACTCCCCACTCTCTCTGGTGAATCCTCTCAACCCCCACACCTCTGGCTTACACCCCAGTTCTTGCATGCATAAATAAATAAATCTTTTTTTTTTTTTTAAAAAAAAAGAAGTAAAAGGCAGGATCAAAGCATGAAGATGCCTGTTGGGTTGAATTCATACTACTTGGCCAAGTCATGTTATAGAAAGATAACTTCTCAAAATGGATCCAATCCTAAGGATTTAACAGCTTTTCTATAAAGAAAATCATTATGAATCAGAGGCCACAAACATGTATAGCTGTTAAGACATGCCAGGTATGTTTAAAACTAATGAAAGAGGCAAATGATTGTCCTGGAAGTCATCACTCACCCTTTGTGTACTGCAATATCCTTTCCACCAAGACAGGGTATTTTGTGATGCGCTGAGTGACCAACAGAATACACTCTGGAATTCCTCGGCGTCGAGCCAAAAGATTGCTATTTCGGAGCTTAAAATATACACATACATTTTTACATACACAAACTATCTGTATTGTCTTTTTAGGTGTCAATCTAATAACACAAAAACCTAAACAGTATCAGTCTATTCAGAAGTAATATTAAGATAGAATACATTACCATTAATTAAAACTTGAAGTAACTGTCATTAAATTATATAGTTTATCATTCATTTCAATAATCCAACTTAAGATTTCAAGTTACTCTCATGCATTGGTAATTCATTCCAAGATTTATAAGCACTAGGATTCACGAATACCCAAAATTTTCAAAAAATAGTCAGATACCACAGATATTGAATATATATTTCTTAGTTAATTGTTTTTCCAACAGGTATTTCTCTATGCTTGCTATTATTCATCACAGCATTTAAAGATTCCACTAATTAGGACATTTTCCTAAAAATCTTGAAATATGGCAAGTTTTCCAGTTCTCAAGACACGTGTATGACATAAAAAGGGGAAAATTTAGTAGCATTCTTAAAATGGTAGGTAGAATTTAGAACTCATGAAACTTTAGTTTTAAAAAATAATTTCTTAAATATATTTGAAACAAAATTTAAAAAGGAGAGAGCATTCAAATGAAAAGAGTTAAAAGATACAACTCTATATATTTTGTGAACTGTGGTCAGACCCTGATTCAAGCAACCCAATATTGATGAGATAATCAGGGAAATTTGAGTACTGGCCAGCTGTTTGAAGATGTTAAGAACTATTGTTAATTTCAGTGTAATACCTTTGCATTTTTTTTTGAAGAACTATTGTGGAAAGATACATATAATATGTGAGACAGTATGTGTCATGGGTTTGCTTCAAACTAACCCAGTGGGGAAGGGGTCAGCCTGCCTTTATTTGCACTCTGGTTCTTCTGACTTATAACTTGTTAGGGCATGCAAAAGCTTCCCAGGATATTACAAAGGTGCTCAGAAGCTGGGAGGATATGACTTCACAATACAAAAATGGAAATAATTGGGGAGAAATATTTCAGTAACACTGAAAAGCAAACTTCCTATCTTTGCCATAAACCTACCACACTTCCTTCTCCTTCCCCTTCAGGTGGAAAAAACCATGTAGATGTAAAACTTGTTCAGATAATCTAAGAAACAAGCATGAGCTATTTCTCCATGTTGGTTTACCACTCTGCAATAAAGTTTTAAAATACTGACCTTAATAAAATTTTGAAATTTTTTATTCTGCTGGAGTTCTTTAAAGAGGCTGACTGCTTCTTTGTGGTGGCTACAGAATTCTCCATATATTTTCTTCATTTTATTTGCATTTTCTTCTGAAAACTGAGAAGAAAACATTTCAATGATGGCTTATAAATTTAATTAGCTCTAACAACTGAAAAGAATATGCAATTTTCATGTATTTCAATATGTTCTATGCAAATAAAAGATAATCATAGAATTTCTAAACAAAATCACCTCTCTTCCCCCAGACACGTCCTTAATTGAAATAAGAGGAAAACATCCACCAAATGTGATAGTACTGAACTAGTTCAATGATCAAATAATCTAATAAAAATATTTGATATCTTCATTTTCTTGTGTTTATGCAACTTTCTTATTTCAATGTTATAATTTCAGTATGTTTATAGATGTAGGGAGGGCATGCAGCAACATCTGACAATCCTCAGAAGGTGTGCTCTCCGAACAACATACATTGGCTAACTGTTCATATCCATCATTCAGTCCTCAGTTGGGAATTTGATTTTAGTCAACACATCACAAATGGAAAGAGAGCTTAGCATTGACTAAGATGAAAGGAAAAAAAATGAATAATCAGAAGGCTGATTTATTAAGTGATGAGAAGAAATAGAGGTATGGGCTGGATATTTCAATAAGGTTGACCTGTAGAAAAATCTACATGTGAACCAATTTAGAATCATAGGTGATGTGAGAAAATTAGCTGAGTTATTTGAATGATGCACATGTCCACATTGAAGAACACTGCACCAGATATGAGAATACACCCATTCCCCTGTTAGAAAGCACCACCTCCAGGCTTTGCAACTTTTCTTACAATTTTATCTAAACTTGAGGTCAGTAGATCTCAAGAAATGATCCTTAAACCATCTACAGTTGTTCCCACAAAACAAACAAAAAGATATAGTTAGGTTGGCACATCAAAACACAGGCCTTACATGCTAAAGACTGCACAATCCTGGTGAAAGAAAGATGCAAATATGGACAGATGTAATCAGGTACGTAGACTGGGAGACCCAACATCATCAAGATGTCAGTTCTCCCCAAACAGATACACAGTTCTAATTCAATTTTATCAAGTTCCCAGATTTTTTTGTATATGAAACAAGATTCTTCTAGAAGTTATACAGAAATGCAAAGAAATTAGAACAGCCAAAAAAAAAATAATTTTGATAAAGAACAGTAAAGTGGAATGGCTCAGTCTATTCAACTTCAAGATTATATAGTTATGATGATTAAGTCTGTGAGGAAGGACAGACACGTAAATGAGTGAACAGAATAGCAATCCAAAATGATCAACTTATTTATGACAGAGGAGCTAAGGCAATTCCATTGAAGAAGAATGGTCTTTTCAATGAATGGTGCTGATTAAATTGGACATCCACAGACCCACCGCTTCTCTCTTATACAAAAATTAACTCAAAGTGGACCATAGATTTAAATATAAAACATAAATCTTTTAGAAAAAAATAAGAGAAAATCTTTGAGATCTCAGGCTAGACAAAGAGTTCTTAGACTCGAAACCAAATGGATGATCCTTAAAACAAGCAAACAAAAAAAAAAATTGAACTTCAAATTTATAGACTGAGAGATCAAGTTAAAAACTTAAGACATTTTCAAATGACATATCTGAAAAAGGAATACTATCTAGAATATAAAAAGAAATCTCAATATTCAACAGTGAAAAAAAAATTCATTCAGAAAATGGACAAAAGGTATTTTGTCCAAAAAGGATATCCTGGTGGCAAATAAACACATGAAAAGATGTCAACATCATAAATCATAGGGGGAAAGTAATATAAACCACAATATCACTATGCATTTTTCAAAATAGCTAAAATAAAAGTGACAACACTAAACATTATTGAAGATGTGGAGAACTGGATATCTTACACATTCTTGATAGGAATGTAAAGTGGTACTCAGGAAAATAGTTGGTAGTTTCAACTACCATAAAACCCATAAATTACACTTGCAAGTATTTACACCAGAGTAATAAAATCTTAAATTTGCACAAAAATCTGTGCATGACTGTTTATAGCAGCTTCATTCATAATCACCAAAAATTAGAAACAACACTATAACAACCTCCAACAAAAGAATGATTAAACAAACAATGGTACATCTATGCCTTGCAATACTACAATCATAAGAAGGAATGAACTATTAATATACATAACCACCTAGATGATTCCTGAGAAAATGATGCTGAGTAAATCCATGTAACCCATATATAATTTTTATGACATTATTGTAGTGACAAAGTTATAGAACTAGAAAACAGATTAGTAGTTACCAGTTGTTAAGGAGGAGGTAGGGGCAAGAGGAGGGTGTGGATATAAAATGATCAGATGGGATATCCACATGATGTTGGAAATATTCTATATTTTGCCCGTAATAGTGTCTGTAGTTGTGGTTTTGTACTTGAAGTTTTCAAGATACTGTCATTAAGGAAAAAGATCATTTAAAAATATCTAGTATTTTCTTTAATCAACACTTTAAAATCCCAGACTCCACTTTAAAATCCTGGATTTATCAAAATAGCATATTAGGGGTTGGAGCAAGGGATCCCTCATTTCTAACAAGCTGAGATTCATATGTACCGGAAGTGGAGAACTACTGCTTTACACTGACCACATTGCTCGTGTTCACAATTGTCACCCACACTAAAAGTTTCCATGGACTAAATTAACATCAGCCCAGCCTCCTGAGACTCTATGGAGTCTCTGTGGCTAGAGCATGGGGCTTCCCCACTCTCTCTCACACATCCTTAAGCAGTATATTCTTTGTTCCAACAGAGACACACCAACATCCATTGTCTGTGGATTTTGCTAATTTAGTCTTCAGGAAGCAATTTTATTTACACAGTATGAGGGGGACTCCTTGCCATACGTACCCACTATGTATGGTCAACAATAGGAACACAAAGACAGACTTAAATCCTTGTCTCTGCATAACAAGGATCTTCCCACAAAGGAGAAATGTGCTTCATCCAAAAATAAGGCTCACCCTGTGTGACAGCCAATGTTCCAGACCCTCTTAAGACCTGCTTTTTTCCATGGAAACTAAGTAAAAAGAGAGCTGGTAAAAGTGTGAATTTTTTTTTTTTTTTACTTAACAACGAACATGTAAAAAAATAAGAGAATGAACGTGTTCTGAAGAATTAGAATTCAAACTCTTGCTATCTGTATCAAGAAAAGAGATGGAGGGGGGCGGAGCAACATGGCGGCGAGGAGACGCTGCGAGTAAGATCTCCCATTAAAAAAAGTTAATAGGGAGGAAAAGCGGCAGGTCCCAGTGAGAACCGGGACACGGAAGATAAACGGGTGACGCCAGCAAACTACCCGAAGAAGAAAGTGGCCATAAAAGAGGACTAGAAGGGAGGGAAGCGCAGAACCCTGCTCCCCTCCCCCGCCCACAGAGGCGGCACTCTCCGACCGGCAGAGAGGAGGAAACAACAAACCAAAACGGCCCACAAGAACAAACGACGCAGCAAGCGGGACTGTGCATGGAAAGGAACTATTGCAGCCACCACACCCTGTGAACGGGAGCTGAGGCGAACCCTGCAGGATCCGCCCCGGCGGTGAGCGAACGGCTCCGGGCGCCATTAGAGAAGAACAAAGACCCCGGGAGACGCGCACACAGCCCTGGCTGCCGGTAAGCTGGCGCGGGAAAGCGGCGCGCTTGAAAAGCAAGTGCAGACCTGGATCATGGCTGCCCAGGTCCCCGCGCCTGCGACCTAGGCTTGGGAGACGACCTAGGCTTGCAGGGAGACGCGGGGAGGTCCTCACTGAGGTGAAGGTCCCTCCCTGAGTGAGCAGGAACCAGGCACCCGGGCACGGGAGCGGTGCAAAAGGCGCCATTCCCGCGCCACTGAACTGGGCTACAGCCCGCGTCCTGGAACTGAGGGCTTTGAACTGAGACCCGGGGCACGAAAATTTGGGGCGTGGGTTCTCCACGACGGTGGGGCACAAGGCAGACACAGCACCCCAAAGCTGTTGAGGTGTACCCTACCATTCCCGCTCTGTTCCCTGTCCCACGGGGTGGGGAGAGGCGAAAAACAGCCCCCCAAGGACAATAGGAGAGATCTCTGGCGCCACCTAGCAACCAGGAAAAAAAAAGTCACTAACACCCCATAGAACAGGAAATTTCTTAAGACTGCTTGAAAAGGGCAGAAGGCTTCTGTAGGACCCAGTGGCCAGCCAGGAAGTTATTCCACGCCAGGCCCCTTCCGACCAGCAGTCTGAGCCCACAGAGGGAGCAGGCACCCACGTCCGGGGCAGACCGGGTGCGCAGAAGAGTGTGCCTGAAACCGGAGGCACAGGGACTGCATCCCGCTTCGCCATTTGAGAACAGGGACATTTCTTAAGTAAAAACTGCCTAAAACCAGCAGAAAGCTCCCCCAAGAGACAGAGATGGCTCCTGGAAGAGCCAGAGGGGAGCGGAGAAGTTCACCCAAGATGTCAGTCAGTCCGAGCAACACAGTGTCCCAACGCATACGACAAATTAGAAAACAGACAGTAGGGAGTAGAAGAACCACACACAACCTAACAACTCCTCAGGAAAGAAGCACACCACAAAAAGAAAACCACTCCCCAGATTACAACGACAGCAACTTGGAAGAACTTCTGAGCCTTCCAGAAGAGAATTTAAAATTGCCATGATTAAAAAAGTGATAGATCAGAAGAAGGAAATTGAGTCCCTAAAGAGGGAAGTAAAAGAAATGCAGGAGATCAAAGAATTAATGGAGGAACTAAAGAACTCCGGGAAAAGCAAGGAAAGCAGAATAGATGAAATGGAAGAACGAATAAGTTCTCTTGAAGACACAGAAATAAAAAGAACCAAAACAGAAAAGGAAAGAGAAGTACGAAGGAAAAAGAATGAAGAAAGACTTCGGGAACTATCTGACTCCATGAGGAAAGGAAATATAAGAGTTATAGGAATCCAGAAGGAGAGGAGAGAGATGTAGGAACAGAGAAAATATTCCAGGAGATAATTGAAGAGAACTTCCCAAATGCGAAGAAGGAGCTGAAAATTGATATACAAGAAGCAAGAAGAACACCAAACTTCCACGACGAAAG